GTGGATGGTAGTATTTGGTGGAGGAGAAAGTTTGATGGGAACTGTTGAGTGTGGGGGACCTGAGAGCATTGGGAAGCAACACAGAGGTGATTGGCTATGTGGATCTGGTCTAGAGATGGGTGTCTATACATCACCAGCCTCAAAAGAGCTGTTGATACTACAGAAGGCAGGATGCACTTACCCAGGGAGACTGGGTAAGAGGCTGGCAGTGGGGAATGCAGGGCAGTGGGTATGCGGGAGCCTGCAGTGAGTCTGAGATGGAACAGCTTGGAAAGGAGGAAGGGCAGTTGTAGTCAGTTAAGGACAGACAATGTTTGTACACATATGCAACACAAGTACCCATACGTGTGCATAAAACACTAGTATACACAATACAGAGGCACACACCTACATACGTGCACATATGTACACATGTGAAAACACACTGCCACACACATGTGCACACAGCCTTGTATGCACACATATGCACTCCATGGCAATCTCCCATGCAGACTGCATACCCAGGCCCTTACATGCACATGTGTACATACACACACATAATTGCATGTTCAGCCTGAACCCATGTGTGAATTTTTCCAGAAGTGGGGCAGTCAGCTGCGAGACTGAGGGAATTGACCCACAGGAAAGTCATCCATGTGACTGAAAAGGAAGTGGATCCAGGAAGAGTAGCCAACCTTTTTGCAGAGTTTAGCTTTGAAGCCCAGAGAAGCAGTGTGGTCCTAGACAAGGGTGTGGTGTGCAAGAAGGACTCATTTCAGTGTATGCATTGTATGCATGTTCTCGGACTGTTTTCCGAGGTGCTGGGCGGGGCCACTAGGGGAGGGAATTGCTGATGTAAGAGGGGAGAGTGGTGGTGGGAGGTTTGTTGCAAACAGACAGTGCTGCTCTCATTGTGGCAAGGAGTGGGTGAGTGGCTGCATCCCCAGGCAGCTAAGGGCTCAGTGGAGGGAGTTACCGACAGCCACATGCCAACAGCCTTCTGTCCCCTCCACAGACCGCGGTGGACATGAAGGTGGACAGGTGAATTCTTCTACAGCAGGGGTTTGGCCAAGTGGAATAGGGGTGTAAAGAGATGGGAGGCTGAGTGTCTTGGCAAGAGAATGGCTGGTGTTGGGGGCCCTGGGTCAGGCTGGGGAAGGAAGGAGATGCAGATAGAGGGAGTGGTGGGGAGGGGATGCTGAGGAGTTGTGCAGGGGTGCGGGTGAGGGGCAGGGGTGCCTCACAGGGCCTGAGTGTGGCTTTGGATGGGAGCCTGTGGACCATCATTAGGATGTTGAATTGAAGTCAGGGCTGGGCAGAGAGGCACCTAAGGTGGATGCTGAGGTCCTGAGGGTTCACGATAGAAAGAAGAATGTGTATAAGGAAACCTGTGATCCCCCCTCTCCTCCCTGTGCTGGAGCCTGGGGGTGTCAAGGTGGACACCCACCCACACCCACCCCTGCTTCAGACACAGCCAGGGGTCTGCACAGAGGTGACTGGCCATTCAGTGATTATGCTACTACCTGCTAAGGGACTTCAGGTCATGAGGTGAGGGAGACTTTGCCCTCTTGGAGGACAATGGCCATGGTCAGATCTGGGAGCATCCCTGGGAGCGACCAGTGGACCATGCATATGAGGCTCCAGGCCCCAAAGGCCCTCTAGCACATACCCTTCCTGTTCGGTTGGTTACTGCACCTCTCTAGGGGCAGTCCTGCTCGCTCCGGGCCCTCAAGGGCTCCCAGGGGCAGCCCCCTTTTGCTCACAGTAATTTGACCAGTCCCTTAAGTAGGGACCACCCTCCACTCTAATCCACCATGCCCAGGCTGGTGGAAGGATGGGTCTGCCCTGGTCAGCCCACAGCCCTTAAAGCAGGGACCACCCTCCAGCTCTAATCTACTCCACCCCAGGCTGGTACAGGGGTGAATCTGCCATGGCCCCTTAAGTAGGGATGACCTCCAGCTCGAATCCACTACCTCCAGGCTGGTGGAGGGATGGGTCTGCCCTGGCCCATTGCTGACCCGCCGACATCTTCTGCAGGACAAGGGACTGCCGGACTCCTCTCTGCAGCAGACACCTGTGCCCTGTGAGCCCTTCGTCTGCCACACTCACAGATGTCATCAGACATACCCACCACACTGTACCCATAGGTACCCCAACAGCTGCAGGCTGCGTGTCCCACACTCAGAAATGTGCAGACACCACAGCACCCCCCCACACCCAACATGGCCACACATGCCACCAACTGCACCTCATTTCCTGTGGGCACACTCTCTTCGCTGCCCCCTACCACCCGCTGAGTCGTGTGGCCTTGGAGGAAGGGAGGGTCTGCCTGCAGCCTGGCATACACGTGCAAACAGCTTCACCAGCCAGAACAGCTCAACATCTGCCCCGTCCCTCTGCCTGTCCATCCCCTGGAGAAGATACAAGGCGATCTTCATGCTCTTTGTGGCCAGGTGCCGGCCACCCTGTGGAACTAACAAAAGCTGGCTTTTGTTCCATTTGCTCCCCGTGGGGATGGGAAACTTCAGGACTGCTGCGTTGCCCAACTGCTGGGGACTATCATTGCTGAGCGCCTCTCTCTGCCATGGTCTGACAGGGCCAAGGTCACCTCACACCTCTCGGATGGACAAGCCCCATGACAGAGCCTGGGAGGTAGGGGGTGGCTGTTCGGAGCCTCAGTGCAGGAATGAGGCTGTGAAGCTGGACCAGAGAGAGCCAGGAGGGACCCAGCCACTGTCTACTGGATGCTGTCTTCATTCTTTGGGCCTGTGGGAAAGTTCTGGGTATCTTTTGTTTTTCATTCTTTTTTTAAGATAAAAATCTCAAAGCTGATTTTCCTTGTTATAGAAAAACTAATATAAAAGCTCTATCCCTGTCCTTGCAGCCCGTAGCTGTGTCTGCCTGCTTCCTGCCATGCTGGGCTGCACCGGGTGGGCTGGGGAGGAGACAGGCAGCGGAGGTCCAGGGAGACAGGGCTTAGTTGTAGGTAAGGAGGAGGCCTGGAGAAGTGTGAAGACCACCGACTTGGAATCAGCATGGGGGCAGGTAACCCTCACAATGTTCCTGTCAGCTCACACTGCAGCCCCAGAGGCTGTGTCTAAACAAAAGACCTGCCCAGCTTGGGGTAGTTCAGGCCTGACCTGGAGGAGCCTCTATGTACTGATGGAACCTTGTCCAGTGTCCATCGCATAGAGGGTGACTGAGGTGGGAAGGGAACCGGAAGCCGGCCTGAAGCCGGAGCAGAACCGACTTGGGGCCCAGGTCTCCACAGAGCCAGAAGTAGTAGACATGCCCAGTGTGCCTGCCACCCAACATGGGCAGCGCTGGAACTGGTTGGAACTGCTGCTCGGAGTAAGGAAGAGCCTCTGACAGGCAGAGCTGCCCCACAGGAGTTTGTGTTGCCTAGGAAGTAGTGACCTCCCGCTATTGGAAGTGTGTAAGGATGGGCTGGTGTGCTTCCTGTCAAGTCGAGTAAGGAGCAGATCCCTTCCTCAGAGAAGTAACCAGTCCACACCAAAGTGGGCGTGACTGCTCCTAGACAATTTAGTTTGAACAAAGGAAGGGGCACTAATGATATCCCTCCCAGTTCCAGTCCCATGGTGGGAAGGAGGGTCCTGGGTCAGGGTCCTTCCTGGGCATGGCAGAGGACAGCCATTAGCAGATTCTCCCTGGCAGCCCTGGGAGGAGAGTGGACATAGTTCAGAAGCAGGAAGCTGGGGGCAGGGGTCCTTCTGACTCTATGAGTGACATGGAGGAAGCCCATTCCCTCCCTGGGCCTTAGTGTTGTTATGGGTCCCATGGTGCTAGACCCTTCTAGCCCCCAGTGCTGAATCTTCTCCCCCAGGCCCATCACAGCAGGCTGTACCCCCTGCAAGCCTCCTCACAGAGCCCTCAGGCACATCTCCTCCAGATTAGTTGAGGAAATGTGCTCCTCTTGGGACTGACCTCAGAGCCCTATCTCAGAATGGTCTATGTGCATCTGGGACATTTGAACAAAATCTGGCCACCCTGTGGCTGCTGAGACAGGCCCCTGGACATGCCTGTCCTCCCTCCAGCCACCTGGGCATGCTTCTCTGCACTCTGGCTTTCCAGACAGGCCTATCCACACTCTGGCCACACAGACAAGCCTATTTGTATTCTCACCACCTAAACAGACTGTGCAAACTCTGGCTACCCCAACAGTCTACACTCTGCCAGCCTAGCTCAACCAATAAAGGACTACTAGCAGGGTACATGTATGGTTTCTTTGAAAAACCCACCAACTTTAGACACAAAATTCCTTTATTTGGTGACCACTGGATTTGCAAACACAGAAAGGAATAGGAATCCTTACAATGACCTGCACACAGGCCTTACTGACAGCAGGACCACACTGGAAGTTTGACCACAGCGTCCCAGGCTGGACCTCCCTCGCTGTCGGTCTGCTGGGAGGCTGGACTGATGGTTTCACACTCTAGAAACAGTATCCCTGTCTCTGCATAGGATGAGCAATGCAAGAGCCCACATGGCCCATGGAAGGCCTATCCTAGGGGAAAGCTGTTTGACTGAGACCATGTGATGGGGTAGGTGAATAGCCTGCCTGGGTGGGACCCAGCTGGGGCAGAAGTGGGGACATGGTGATTTTCTTTAATAAAATGACAACAGAGGGGTTGTGGGGGCTCCTGGAGTGAGGCAGCACCTCTCCTGGCCCCCAGGTGCCCCGTACTCCTGGAAGGAGTGGCTGGCATGAAAGACTTGAGTAAGGTCCTGGTCTTAGCATTCATTACTCACTCAGAGCCTCCACTCCATTCATCCAGAAAGTGGGTGACCCCTGCCTGTGTCCTGCAGGCTAACTCAGTGGAAACAGCTGCTTCTGATCAGATCACAGCTCTGGGTGGGCTCTGCAGGGTCCTGATACTTTGGCTGGGTGCGGGACAGGCAACTTTTACCTCTGGGCCCTGTCGTCTGCTTGGGAAATGTTGATAAGTTGGGATAGATCCCTCACCCCGGAGGCCTCCCCTGGCCTCTGCAGCCCCACTGGCTCAGACATTGGTCTCAAACTCACTGATCTCGATGGTGCAGTGGTCCAGGCAGCCAGTGGCTGGCTCCTTGTCCTGCTCTACCTGGACAGTGACGTGGTGGGGGCGGGAGGGGCCCCCGCTCTTCACACAACCACTCCACTGGGTCGCCACTGGAGGCTCCTGGAGGCTCACCGGCTTGGTCTCAAAGGGCGGCAGTTTCTGGAGAGGGAAATGGGCCTTAGCAAAAACAGGAGGGACTGAAGTTAGACATTATTATTATTGTTATTAAGTGCCACCTAATCAGTTCAGACCATTAGCTACCCTGTATAGGGTTTTGGAGTCCTGGTGTGGCGCTGTGGGTTAATGCACCATACTGCAAAGCCATTTGAACTGCAAGGTTGGCGGTTCAAGCTCACCAGCTGCTCCTCAGAAACACTATACAGGGTAGCTATGGATCGGGATTGACTCGACGGCACTTGACAACAACAACATATAGGGTTTCTGAAGCTGTAAATCTTTGCTGGAGCAGAAAGCCTCATCTTTCTTTTGCAGAGCAGCTGGTGGGCTCAAACTACCGACCTTGTGGTGTCCAGTCCAGTGATTATTGTATGGAGGCAGCAGAGGTTAGATATTTGTTAAGTGCTCGAGTCAGTTCTGATGCATAACAACCCTGTATAGTGTTTCTGAGGAGTATCTAGTGAGTTTGAACTGCCAACTTTACGGTTCAAACTGACCTTCCAGTCCAGGGCTTATCCCACAGTGCCACACCAGGACTAGGGAGGACTAAGGTTCAGGAAAACAGAACCATGTGACTTGTTTTCCTGCAGTCGTGCTGTGTGACTCCCAATGATCATAGAGTTTCTCTGGGCCCCAGTTCCCAAGCTGTCCTGCCTCAGCCTGGGGCTGCTTTGAAGACGAGGGGACCTGAGAGGGGTCCGGTGAGAGGATAGGGACTCATCTGCCTGAGTCTCAGTTTCTCTCCCCATGATGTGGGGACAGCCTACCACATGTGCACGGCTGTTGAAAGTGTTACAGGAGAATGTCAGATCCACAAGGACCAGTTTTATCATGTTCATTGTTCCTACTGCATTTAGGTGGGGAGGGCCGCCACGCTAGGTGTTCAGTAAACACATGTTGGTGGAATTCATTGGTCACCCCCATCAACAGATGAGGAGCCTGAGGCTCAGAGCCTGCTGCCCTGCCCACCATACTCCTGGATTCATTCTCCTTCCCCACCTCAGGCTGGGGGGCACTGCTCTCACCTCGGTGCCTGTGTCCTGAATGAAGTCCTTCCGGCAGATGTGGGCCATGATCCCTGCAGCCAGAGCATCACCCAGTACGTTAATCATGGTACGGAAACGGTCCCTGAAGGACAAGGTTGTTGTTGTTAAGTGCTGTTGAGTCGGTTCTGACCCATAGCAACCCTGTATAGGGTTTCTGAGGAGCAGCTGGAGAGTTTGAACCACCGACCTTGCAGTCCAGTACATTGTGTAGTGGTTACAAGTTGGGCTGCTAACCTCAAGGTAAGCAGTTTGAAACTACCAGGTGTTTCATGGGAGAAAGATGAGGCTTTCTGCTCCTGTCAAGATTTCAGCCTTGGAAGCCCTGTACAGGGTCGCTGTGAGTTGGAACTGACTCCACGGCACATTACCACACCACCACCACATGAACCCACAGCACCATAGAACTCCTGGAGGTGAGTTACTAGGTGCTTGGGTGAGTTACTGCCATGGCAGACAACAGTGCCATGGCAGGTGCTTAACAGCAGTGGCTGGCTGTCAGGACAGAGCTGGGTGGCAAGCACTCCTTGGTGTTGTGGAAGCAGACTGATTCAGGACCGGCTTCATGGGTGTAGTACCCTGTTGTTGGCTGAATGCTTTGTTACAGCCATCTTGAAATTCTTCATAATTAAAAAAAAGGGGGGGGCCCAGCATCTTCATATTGAACACTGGACCCCACAAATTATGTAGCCAGTTGTAGGTCAGTGGGAAGCCCCCGCGTCCAGGAAGGGACCCAGTTCCCACCCAACAGTGCCTAGGGACTCAGAAGTCAGCCCTTCCTTGGGGGTTGGTGTGACCACCACTCACAGAGCCCAGTCAATGGCGATGATGAGGGTGATGTCCTCAGTGGGCAGTCCCACAGAAGTGAGCACAATGACCATGGTGACGAGTCCGGCCTGAGGGATGCCCGCTGCCCCAATGCTGGCCGCTGTCGCTGTGATGCTGTGTGGAGTGTGAAGGGGAGGAGTAAACACAATGTTGGTGCTTGCCTGGCTCCAAGGAGGGGTTGGGAAAGCCAGGGTCTCAGAATAGCCAGATGGGGTAGGGGGTTGGTTAGGAATGCCAGGGTCCCTGCTCAAGGTACCCATGTACCCCTGGGCCTGCCATTCCTGGCCTCAGGAGAACCTCTTGATAGTTTGTACCAGTAGCTGCTGAGCCTAGGTTCCCAGGAAGCTGGATTTGTAGAGGTTTACAGAGGATCTGGTCCTCCACTGGTTGAGCTTGGCCACAACTTCCCTCTGGGGCTGGTCCACAGGGTTAAACTTATGCCCACGGACCTTCTGACCTTACCTTGAACCCTCTCCACACCTCCCAGTTTCCTCCACCCTCTCTCTGGTGTCTGCTCCCCTTGTCCCACCTTCAGTGCCCTCCCTCCTCCGCCTGACTCAACTATAAGACCGCTCCAGCCCTGACTCCTGGAGCAGTCCCCTCTTATCCCTCTGCCTGTCTCAGGCTGCAGTGTGGTGCTAGGGCAGGGACTCTGTGTTAGGAATCCAGTCTTGGCTCCTGTGTTGACCTGCTGTGTCCTGGGGTGAGCCCCTTGACCTCTCTGGGCCTTGGAGACCCCCTCAGAATTCTGAAGGCCCCTCCAAGCCCCTTCTCCCTATCATTGCAGAGTGTGGGGTGCCAGAGGAGAGCACCTGATGGTGATGATCTGTCCAAAGTCCAGCTCATAGTTGTTGACCTGGGCAATGAAGATGGCAGCCACAGCCTCATAGAGCGCAGTGCCGTCCATGTTGATGGTGGCGCCCACAGGCAGCACGAAGCGGGCGATGCGCCGTTCAATGTGGTTGTTGTCCAGTAGGCACTTGAAGGTGACGGGCAGTGTGGCTGAGCTAGGGGAAGAGGGCCAGTGTCTGTCTACCACCTCCTCTGGGACAGATAAGACTGTCCCTCCCGGGCAGCTGACTGACTGAAAGGGTTTTGAAAAGGGTCAAGGGTGGCATCCTTTCAGGAGTGAGTGGATGCCTCGGAGACGCTCCTTCCCAACCCAGACTCAAGCGGGCTGGCTCAGATTGGGAAGTTGGCCACCCAGTGTGTGCTAGGCCCAGAGTCACACGGCTGTGCCAAGAGTACAGAAGAGGCCACTGTGGTCTAAGCGGTTAACAGCAGAGGCTCTGGGGCCAGACTGGTGTTGTGTAACATTAAGTTGATTTTGACTCATAGCGGCCCTATAGAACAGAGTAGAGCTGGTCCATAGTTTACTGTGGCCCTGGTAGCGTAGTGGTTATGAATCGGGCTGCTAACCTCAAGGTCGGCAGTTCAAAACTACCAGCTGTTCTGCAGAAGAAAGATGAGGCTTTCTGCTCCCATAAAGATTTACAGCCTCGGAAACCCTGTACGGGGTTGCTATGAGGCTGAACCAACTCCATGGCATATAACAACAACAACAACAACAACAATCTTTATAGGGGCAGATTGCCAGGTCTTTTCTCCCACAGAGTGGCTGCTGAGTTTGAACTCCCAGCCTGGAAGTTAGCAGTCAGGCTCTTAACCATTGTGCCGCCTGAGCTTCTCAGGGCCAAATTGCCTGGGTGTGGCACTGTGGGTTAATGCGCCAGACTGCAAAGCCGTTTGAACTGAAAGGTCGGCAGTTCAAGCTCACTAGCTGCTCCTTGGAAACCCTATAAGGGGTCGCAACCGACTTGACGGCACTTCACAACAACAACTAGCCATGTGAAAGAAGCTCTGGTAGCGTAGTGGTTACCAGTCGGTCTGCCACCCTCAAGGTCAGCAGTTCGAAACTACCAGCTGTTCCGCAGGAGACAGATGAGGCTTTTCTGCTTCTGTAAACATTTATAGCCTCGGAAACCCTGTACAGGGTCACTATGAGTTGGAACCGACTTCACGGTACTTACCAACCAATAACTAGCCATGTGACCCCAGCAATCTCCTTGTGCCTTAGTTTCCTTTTCCCAAATTGGTGAGGTGCTCTAGGATTAGTACTAACCATAAGGTTGACAGTTCAAACCCACCAGCTGTTCCTTGGAAATCCTATGTAGTAGGGTCACTATGAGTCTGAACCGACTGAATGGTATTTAACAACAACAACAACAGCAATACCTAGATTACAGAGCTTTCAGGAGGATTAAATGAGTCAGTACTTAGGACCATGCCTAGCACAGTGTAAGCACTTGGTCAAGGTTACCTACTGTTAACATTGTTATGTGTATTCTTAGAGTTTTAGGAGTCCCTGGTTGGTGTAAACAATTAATGTACTCAGTTTCTAGTAGAAAGAAAGTTTGAAGGTTTGAGTTCACCAAAAGGCACCCTGGAAGAAAGTTCTGGTCATCTACTTCCAAAACTCAGCCACTGAGAACCTTGTGGAGCACAGTTCAGTTCTACTCTGACACACATCGGGTTACCATGAGTCACAGATGACTAGATGGCAACCCCCCCCCACCTCCAGTGGCACTAGGGGAACCCTGGTAGCATAGTGGATTACACGTTGATCTACTAACCAACTGCAAGGTCAGCAGTTCGAACCTACCAGCCACTCCGTGGGAAACAGATGAGGCTTTCTGCTCCCATAAAGGTTTACGGTCTCGGAAACCCTGTACAGGGTCACCATGAGTTGGAACTGACTTGATGGTGCTCAGTAGCAGTCGGGTTGCTGTGGTCCCAGTCCCCTTCCCTCACCCCAGAGGTGACTGCTAGGGGCCCCAGTTCCGTTTGCCAGAGACTTTCACAATCCCCACATGTGCTGGGCCGAGGCTGACGGCTCCTGTCAAGTAGAGTTTGCCTTCACCTCCCAGTCTCTGCCCTGGTTGTAGGTTCCTAGGCCTTTTCCCTCAATGGGTTTCGCCTCCTCCTGAGTTCTGCAAGAGGTGCTTCTGTAACTAAAGGTGTCCCATTTTACAGACTGGGCAGCTGAGGTCTGGTAAGGGCTGAAAGGAAGAGCGTGCCCTTTCTTTCTAGCCAGATGTGAATTTGAGTCCCTGATGTGTGTCTTCCTGCAGTTGAGGCAGTCTGACCGCCCGTCTTTCTTCTCAGGGTAAAATGCTCAGCAAATGGTCACCTCTTTCCCTTTCCACTTGATTGACAACCATACAGCAAGGCTCAGGCTGCCTGAGGGCTGCACTCAGCAGCAGTGGAGGGTCCTTGGTGGTGAACCCTGTACAGGGTTTCCGAGGCTATAAATCTTTACCACAGCAGAAAGCCTCATCTTTCTCCCACAGAACAGCTGGTAGTTTCGAAATGCTGACCTTGAGGTTCTCAGCCCAATTTGTAACCACTATACTACCAGAGCTTGGTCAATCTACACAGCAACCCCATGAAGTAGATTGTTGTTGTTGTTAAGTGCCGTCGAGTCGGTTCCGACCCATACCGACCCTGTACAGGGTTTCCGAGGGTGTAAATCCTTACGGGAGTAGAAAGCCTTATCTTTCTCCCGCGGAGCGGCTGGTAGTTTCGAACCGCTGACCTTTAGGTTCGCAGCCCGATTCGTAACCACTACGCTACCAGAGCTCCTTATAGAGGCTGTCATTATCGCCATTCTGTATATGAGGAAATTGATGCCCAAGGAGGTAGAGTGACTGGCCCACAGTCACACAGCTAGGGAGCGATGGAGCCCTGATCTAGCTACTTTGCCAAGGCATCCAGCAAAGTGGTCCCAAAAGGAGACTGGGAAAGGTCCCAGGACTGTGCCGGGAGGGGGTGGGGGTGAGGAAGCGGGGGTGGGGGGGTGGGGGGCATCTCCAACAGCAGCACCATGTGGCGGCGGGAGGCAACAGCAGCTGTAGATTTGTCAGACTGTAGTAGTCTCTTCTGCTGATGTGGAGAGGATGAGCCCGTGGGAGGGAGTAAACTCTAGGGATTGAGGGCATTTCAGGTAGGAGAAAGCCTCAAGAAAGCATAAGGGCTTTCTCTAGGTAGGTGGGGCCTTGGGGAAAAAAATCAATCAAAATAGGCCAGACTGGCCCTTTCTCTGGCTCTGTGACTATGGACATATAGGCAGAGTCAAGCCACCAGCTCCCATCCTGTCCACTGCCCAAGACTACCTGGAGGAGGTGGCCAGTGCAATGAGCAGGGCCTGGAGAATTCCGCGGATGAAGACGATGGGGTTCTTTTTGGTGATGGAGAAGTAGAGCAGAGGCAAAATGAAGAGACCGTGGACGACAAGCCCACACACCACCGTAATCGCGTAGAAGCCCAGCTTCTTCCCAATGGTCTTGGGATCATCCATCTCCAGGATCTTGCCAGCAATAAGGAACACAATGCCGAAGGGGAAGTACCTAGGGTGAGCAAGGCAGCTCAGGACTCAGGTGCCAGCCCTGGCCCTACATCACTCCATGTCTCATCCTTTCTTAGCCCTAAAGGAGTCACGCAAGAACCAAAGGGCACCCTATCCAAAGATGCCAGTCTAGGGTCAGACACATAGCATTATGAATATTACCCTTAATAGACCAGCTCCTCTGAGCACTCCCAGATCCAACAATGCCACATCTTTGTGGGAGACTTTAGGAAGGACTCTGCATCTCCCCATTTGAATTGTGCAAGGTTGGACTAGAAGATTCCTTAGGTCTGAACTCTGAACCTAGGTGTGGAAGTTGGTTCTAATTCTAATGTTTCCTTTTTCCAAAAACTGAGCTAACGAGGCTCCACGTGATGGGGAAACTGAGGCCCCAGGAGTAGCAAGGTCTGCTTTAGCTCTTAGCTCTGGTCCAGTGGGCCCGGATGGACCCATAACCTGACTAGTCCAGAAAAGGCAGGGTCAGGGCTAGGACTGGGTCTGCGTGGGGCTATGGGATTCAGAGAAACGTGCGAAGCTCTGGAGGTCCCAGGCCCTAACTTTGACCGGTGTGTAGTTTTCTCCTGGGAGACCGAAAATGAGGTCATGGCGTTCTTCATCAGGCATGGTCTGGTTTTGAGGGGAGTGGTGGGGTGAGAGGGTAAACGAGGCTTACCACACAGCCACCGCCACGATCTTCATGACGGACTCATTGAGGCACTGGCAGAAACTGACCAGTGGGGCTCCGCTGTCACCCATACGGCCCAGCATGATGCCTGTAGGGCGGGGACACATAAGTACATCCAGATGTTCCCTGGGGAGGCCAGACACACGTGCCTCCACGTGAAGACACACGCGGGAGGCAGGCCTGCAGCCGACCCGCACGCACAGGCGGATCTCAGCCCTGGCCCTCTTCCCAGCAGTTTCAGAGGCCTCAGTTCCTCCCACTTTCTTTTCTTCTCCTCTGCCTCCTCCCTGGACACTCCTGCCGGCATCTTTGTACACGGAGACCCTGGCCACGCCCTAGATTCAGGCCCCTCCTCCCTCTATCCGGTCCTGATCTCCCTTCCCTACTCTGCCGCAGCATCACTGGCCTGGAAGCTTCCAGAATCAGTCAAGTTCCTCACTGCCTTACTGCACCCACTGCATCTGCATAGCTGGCTGCCCTCTGCCTTTAGATCTCAGGCAAGCCTGCCCACTCCACCCCTGATTACTGTATTCTCCACCCAGAAAAGCTTCCCCTACATCCTTCTCCGTTCTCATCTCTTGCTGATGCTTTCATCTCACTTAATACAACTTAGAGCCGCTGTTTTCCATCAGTCTCTCCTCCAATAAACTGTAGTTCTGTAAGAGCAAGAATTCTATTTCCTTAGCTGGCACATGGTATAACTGTTGAGTGAACCAATGAACAAAATGGAATTAATAAATCGAACGGACCTTGACACCCCTGTTATTCTCCCTAGGCCATTCTGGGTTTCCCTGAAAGCACCCACAGCACCTATAATTGTATGCTCAGGGGCTTCTTCCTGAGGAGCTCCAGTGAGGTTAGGGAGGAAGGCACAGGGCTTTACATACAGCTGTGTTTACTAGTTTTCTTTTTTCCTGCTATTCTTTATTATAACTCCCTTTTCCCATTATCCCCAGACTTGAGTAAAAGGTTTCAGAAGAGGAGACAGGAAAGGAGAAAGGGGAGACACCACTGGAGGCCAACAAGCGCCCCTGCAACTGTCATCAAATTGATTTGACTCACAGCGACCCCATAGGACAGAGTAGAACTGCTCCATAGGGTTCCTGAGACTGTGAATCTTTGCAGGAGCACACAGCTTCATCTTTCTCCTGCAGAGTAGTTAGTGGGTTTGAACTGTGGACCCAATGCTTAACCCAGTATGCCACCAAAGCTCCTTAGCCAGCACCCAGGGATGGGGAATTCTGAGGGAGGGTGGTGAGGAGCACCACTAGACTCTAATGTGGTGAATGACCCAAGACATTCTTGGGGAGCAGGATGGGGATTTGGAACAGTCTGTCTAGATAGTGAAAGGAGCCTTGGTAGGATTACAAACTGAGCTGCTAACTACAAGGTCAGTGGTTCCAATCTACCAGCTGCTCCTTGGGAAAAAGGTGAGGCTTTCTGCTCCATAGAGTTATAGCCCCGGAAACCCTATACAGGGATTCTGTGAGTCAGAACAGAATCAAGGACACTTAGCAACAACAACAATCCAGATAATGAAGGCAGGGCTGACCCATTCAGCACATTGTCAGGACTCCGACAATTCCATTTATTAGAGGGAGGGAGGGAAGGACAGAGGCTCTGGGACCCTGCTGGGGTGGGGTGGGGGAAGCACATACCCATGGTGGCAGAGAAAATGACAATGCCCAACACATTCATGCCCTCACTGGTGCCAGGCTCTGACTTGTAAATGACCTCCGGCGGTGGGGTCAGATCCAGGATGAAGTTCTGCACACGAGAGCTGTTTTCTTCCTGGACCCCATAGATGAGGATGGGCCGAGGAAGGGCCTCCTCTGATGCCTCCTTAATAGACTTGACAACAGAGGTGGTCTTGGTGCGGTACTGGGAGGTGACACCCCAAACAGGAAAGCAGTCAGTGTCAAGTGTTATTAATAACAACAACAATGACATTTCTTGAAAGTACATTTATATTCACTTCTATTCCAATTTAAACCCCACAGGAGAAAGGCAGGGCAGGAATTATCCTCAGGATTTTACCAACAAGAAAACAGCTTTCTTCTTCCATCCACATACTACCTAACCTCCCTCCCTCCCTGTCTCCTGGTCTTTGTAGGTATCTTTATACTGATCCATGTCCCTCTCTGACCACCCTCCCATCCTCTCATTATCCTGGATAATTCTCCATTCACCCATTTATCTCCTGGCAGCCAGCAATCATCAACCTACCTATTTGGTCAGCCCCCTCTGCTACCTAACAGAAACACAGGTCTTCTCTGCCTTCTTGACCAGGTTAGCCCCTGGCTGAGGGAGGCTGATGAACCACCTGAGCCATCTGCTTGGGCTCCTCTGCCCTGACTCATTCCTTAGGTCCTGGGACCCCAAACAAGACAGCCTCCTGCCCTCCCAAACATTGTACTATCAGTGGAGACAGTCTCCTAACAAGAGAGAAACTTAACTCTATGCTTCAGTTTCCTCATCCTTAAAATGGAGACCATTATGCTATCTCCCTCTTTGGACAGAAAGAGACAATATATGTCAAGTACTTACAAGCCAGCCTACCACATGGTAAGCCCTATATAAGATTTCTGCTATCACTACCATCATCATCTTTATCATGGTTCCAGTATGGAGTACTCTGTGCTGGGCATTAAAAAATGAGCCAGACATAATTTTTGCTATGAGCACCTACAAGAGGGAGCAAACTCTGAGGGAGTCAGAGAAGTTTCACAAAGGAGGGGCAATTTGATTTGGGTCTTGCAGGATGAGTAAGAGTGCCCCAAGGAGAAGGGCATATAAAGGTATTTGCGTGTTTGCAAAATAATCCATGTATAACACTACAAAGTAATCCAGGTAAGGATTATTTTGTATAACACTACAAAAGAATTATGATTATTTTCAAAAGGATTATTTTTAAAAGAGAAAGCAGGCTTAGAAACGAGACAAAACTAGGTTTACCTACTAGCTTTCATGTTTACTATTGGTATAATCTTGGGCAAATTGCTTAATCCTTTTGAGTCTCTGTTTCCCCCATCCAGTATAGCGTTATTGCGAGGATTGAGTGAGATGGTGTATTTGTGATCACCAGTGTGGAGCCTAGGGCGGAGCAGGCTCTCAGTAAAGGTTTCCTTCTGCCCCTAGAAGTTTTCTTCATGAAAAACTAGAACCTAGGACAGGGGTATGGCCAGGGAAAGCTCTAGGGATCTAGGTCCCACCTCCCTCAGGAAGTAGGGTAAGAACATCTGAGAACCTGGGATCCTTCAGGACAAGGCTGCCTCCTCCCAGCCAAGTTCAGCCTTCCCACCAGCTGGTCCTTTCCCTCCATTGCCCAGGGACCTACTCACCTGTTTGAATGTGGCTTCCACCAGGTTGGCTGGGAACATGTTCCTAAGAAGAGAGGCAGTAACTGAAGAAATCCAGAGCCCAGGAATTGGGAAGGGGTCCATGAAGTCACTAAAAACCTCCATTGGCAGTGGAGGACTCATGACCCAGCCTCACCTCCCTCTACAGTGGTACCCCTCTGCACCCCCAGATATCCCCCAGCCCCAGTACTTAAAGTGCCAATACCGATGGCTTGCAGTTCCGTAAATACGTCACACACTTTTCCAGTTCCCTGCTTTTGTCCACATTGCTGCTTCTGCCTGAAATGTGTTTGCTGCTTCTCAGCCTGGCTGACTCCTACTCACATCAAGCACCGATCAAAACCAAAGCCAAGCATCATTTCCCCTGCCCAGTCTTCCTGGCCTCTCTCCTGGACTTCACCTTGCTGGGGTGTGGTCACTAGTTGATATGTCTGTTTCCCCCATACATGGTCCCTTTGAAAGCAGGGACTTTGTCATTTATATCCTCTCTGTAGAGCCCCAAACAGGACATGACACATAATTGGGATCATCATTTTTATTAATATTATTATTATGAAGCTAAAGGTAAGGAGCTCTGGTACCATACTGGTTATAAGTTGGACTGCTAATCTCAAGGTCAGCAGTTCGAAACTACCATTGGTTCCGCAGGAGAAAGATGAGGCTGTCTGCTCCAGTAAAGATTTACAGCCTTGGAAACCCTGTACAGGGTCACTATGAGTCAGAACCAACTCCACAGCAAATAACCAAACCAAAAGGTGGAGGGGCTCTTGTTCTACCATATAGTAGAACATGCAATAAAGATGAAATGATTAAAACAGTGTAACACTGACACAGTGATGAATAGAAAAATCAGTGTTACTGAACTTGCAGCCCAGAAACAGAACCCTAGTACAGCTAATACTTCACATTTGAACAAAGCTGTCCCACAAATCAATGAGAAAAGGAAGCATTCATCAGACTGCACAACTGAGCAGCTATGTGCAAAAATAAAAGTTATACCAAAATAGATTCCAGATGGTCTAAAAAACTTATAAAATTAAAAACTGAAACCATACAAAACTAGAATAAAATGTTAGTATTTTATCAAACTTCGGGATATGAAAGGACTCTCTATGAACAAAATGAGTAATAAAAATCAAAAGATCTCACTACATTAAAATTAAGAATTCCTAAATGCAATGTGGAATTGGATCCTGGAACAGAAAAAAATGACATTAGTGAAAAAACTGGTGAAATCCCAAATAAAGTCTGTAATTGAACTAATCATGGCATACCAGTTTAATGTCTTGGTTTTGAATAAATGCACCGTAGTGTGTAAGATGCTGGTATCAGGGGAGGCTGGGTGGAAAGTGCCAAATCTGGGAACTCTCAGAACTATGCCTGAGATTTTTCTGTACATTTAAAATTATCTGCCAAATGAAAAACTAAAAAAAATAAAATTAAGAAGTCCTGTAAGATGTAGATTATAATACACATGAAATTAGAAGGCAAGTGGTAAACAGAAGAGACAATGACAAAATGATATCATCCTAAATTTATAAAGAGCTTTTCTAGATCTTTCTTTTGTTTACATATTCACATGGTCTGTCTCCTTCTGCAAAATCTTCAGCTCCCTGAGGGCAGGGACCTCTGTTTTGTTCACTGCTGTGTCCTTCACACCTAAAAGAGTGTTTGGCACATAATAGGGACTCAGCAAATATTTGTAACCCAAATAAATGGACTACCCAAAATCATCAACATGCCAATAAATAATGGTTGTAACAGAATAGGCAAATCACTACACAAAAGAAGTTTTCAAACATCTTCAGCTTCTTGCAGTGGCCACCCAAGATATAATAATTGGTTTCTCTTTACCTGGAGCAACAGAGGAAGAAAGAGATGCAGGAACTGGAGGAGGGAAAAATGGTTTGCAGTTTTAATTGTTTCCATGAACAATGTGCCATGAGATGGGAAGAAATGTACAGTGCCTAGCTGCCATCACTCAACCTTTTAATTAGGGATCTAATAGACAGATCTTGATCAAAAGGATAAAAACTGTGGAACAGAACGAAAAGTTCTTATTGGGAAGCCGATTCACTGGACACATTGAGACGGGAAGGACCTCCAAATCTATTGAATTAGGGATCTAATAGATAGATCTTGATCAAACGGATAAAAACTGTGGAACAGAGTGAAAAGTTCTTATTGGGAAGCTGATTCACTGGACACATTGAGACTGGAAGGACCTCCATATCTATTGCCTCCATATCTATTTGGACCGTGAGTCAAAACAATCCTATGAAGTCATCTTTAAATTAAATAATAATTTAGCTCAATAAATAATGCCTACTTTGAGCTCTGCACCCTATTAAACAATTACTTACACAAGATTGAGATGCCAGCAATAATTCTAAGGCATGAATGAGAACTTGAAGGAGCAGAGAGCATATATTAATGGTGGTGTGCCAACAGGACAGAGATAGTGAGGACAGTGACGATGTGAAGTCTGTGACCATTGCCAATCAACTGAGTATGCAGAAATGTTCACTGGAGGTCTGTCACACACACACAAAAGGTTCAGCTTTGTCAATAACTAAAAAATAATTTCACCCATTGAATTGTTGTTGTTAGGTGCCATCGAGTTGGTACCAACTCAAAGCGACCCTATATACAACAGAACGAAACGCTGTCTGGTCCTGGGCCAACCTCACAATTGTTGCCATGCTTGAGTCCGTTGATGCTTCCATTTAATCAATCCATCTCGCTGGGGTTCTTCCTCTTTTTCTCTGACCCTCCACCTTACCAAACATGAGATCTTTCTCCAGTGACTGGTCCATCCTGACAATATGTCTGAAGTATGAGAGACAAAGTTTGGCCATCCTGGCCTCCAAGGAGCACTCTGGCTGCACTTCTTCCAACATAGATGTGTTTGTTTTTTTGGCAGCCCATGGTAATTTCAATATTCTCCTCCAACATTATAATTCAAATGCATCAGTTCTTCTATGGTCTTCCTTATTCACTGTCCAGCTTTCATATGCATATGAGTTTATTGAAAATACCATGGCTTGGGTCAGGTACACCTTAGTTCTCAAGCTGACCTCTTTGCTCTTCAATGCTTTAAAAAGGTCTTGTGCAACAGATTTGCCTAATGCAATATGTCATTTGATTTCTTGACTACTGCTTCCATGAGTGTTGATAGTTGATCCAAGAAGAATGAAGTCCTTGACAATTTCAATCTTTTCTCCACTGATAAGAATGTTGTTTATTGGTCCAATGGTGAGGATTTTTGTTTTCTTTACATTGAGATGCAATCCATATGGAAGGCTGTGGTCTTCGATCTTCATCAGTAAGTATCTTAAGTCCTCTTCACTTTCAGCAAGCAAGGTTGTGTCATCTGCATATCGCAGGTTGTTAATGAGTCTTCCTCCAATCCTGATGCCACAGTTTTCTTCATATAACCCAGCTTCTTGGATGATTTGCTCAGCATACACGTTGAATAAAAATGGTGAAAGAATACAAGCCTGTCGCACATCTTTCTTAATTTTAAACCATTCACCGTTCCCATGTTCTGTTCAAACAACTGCCTCTTGCTTGGTACAGATACAGATTCCGCATGAGCTCAATTAAGTGTCCCAGAATACTCATACTTCGCAATGTTGTCAATAGCATTGAAAGCCTTTGCATAGTCAATAAAGCACAGATAAATATCTTTCTGATATTCTCGGCTTTCAGCCAAGACCCATCGGACATCAGGTCGCCAGTGAGCACCTGTGAGAGTCTTGGCCCCTGTGGATCTGGATCGCACAAGCCAGTGCTGCAGGATGGCCTTCTCCCAACCTGTCATGAGGAGGAGGCTCCGGGGCCAGCCTGATCCTGACCTTGGGGGTTCTAGCCTCCCAAATTAAATTTCTATAGCTCACACACACACATAAACATACACATTAGCTTTTAACTCCGCATACCTCCAGACCAAGAAAAGTACCTGGCTACCCACAGCCAAAGGGACTCACCCAGTGAGCTTGCAAGCCTCACCTGGGCTGGCCCAATACACAGACACACACTACAAGTATGGGGTGCAGACCCCACAAATGTGGCCGCTTGACCCAGGACACGGGAGTGGGGTGGAGGTGGGGACTGACACATTCTTCCTGCCACTCTGGGTCTTCAGGACACAGGACAGCCAAAAGCCACAGCATACCCAGGGCCACACTCTGCTTGCCACAAGTACACAGCATAGGTTGGGGCCTCTGCCTGTCACCTTTCCAGCATGCCAGAGTATGTATGTGGGGAGGAGGCTGGTGCTGATCAGCCCCATTGCACCCAGTTGAGGGACCTTTGTGATAATCTAGACTTTTCCAATAAAAACAAGTAGAATTTTGAAAAACAAACAAAAAAAACGGGGGCCACACTGATCAATGAAAAATGGCTGCTGAGCACAGCTAAAAACCTCTTCCTGAACCATACCGCTGATGCAAAAGCCAAGGACATTGCACCGACTTTAAAACTCTACATGGGGTAAAATCAGCACGTGGAAATTGAGAAAGTGGTTCTCCACCCTGACTACTACAAGGTAGACATTGGGCTCATCAAACTCAAACATAAGGTGCCATTAGGGGAGAGAACAATGACCATTTGTCTACCTTCCAAGGACTATGCAGAAGAGGGGCGTGTGGGGTATGTGTCTGGCTGGGGGCGGCATTCCAACTTTAATTTTACTGAGCACCTCAAGTATGTCATGTTGCCCGTGGCTGCCCAAGACAAGTGTGTACAGCACTACGAAGGCAGCACAGTAGCAGAAAAGAAGGAACAAAAGAGCCCCGTTGGGGTGCAGCCCATACTGAACGAACACACCTTTTGTGCGGGCATGTCCAAGTACCAGGAAGACACCAGCTATGGCGATGCTGGCAGTGCCTTTGCTGTCCACAACCAGGATGATGATACCTGGTATGCAGCTGGGATCCTGAGCTTCGATAAGAGCTGTACTGTGGCCGAGT